AACTTCCTACTTAAGATCTGGAAGACTCTTGAGTATAACCCAAGCCACCTTCTTCAGCCATTGACAGGAGTCTCTCATAATTATGGCCACCAACCTGGTAGGCTAGGAGTTCCAGAGAAAGCAGGGCCTCGGGTCTACTATTTTTCCCAGCATCCCCAGCACTGCCAGCTCATCCAAGGGTCTATATCGTGCAGGTCAGTAACTGAGTGCTGAAGTGGCCTCATCCAAGCCTCCAGCCAAGGCTTGTTTATTCTTCACCCTGAGTTGGCTCTCTCCCTTGGGAAGGCCAGCAGGGACCCCAAACCAAAGCAAGCACACCCAACTCCAGTATGCTAGGTCTCAGCACCCCCTTAGGCATCTATCTATTCTTCAGATCTTCTTCACTCCTCTATAACTATGCTTTTGTTCTTGCTCACCGGGACCAGACAGTGCTCCTGCTCTGCCCTTTTCAATGAATCCATTTAGTCCCGCAAAATGCAACCCATGCTCCCTGCTTGTTTTTCCCTTCTAATGACCATTCACTAAGGTGTCCACCTTCAGTCTTGTCAGGACCAGAGCTGGATGGGGTCAGAAGCAAAAAGCCAGCACCTGGGGTACTGGCCCTGTGTCAGGGACTACTTGTAACAGGGTTCAAGAACCTGACCCAGGGGGGCCAGGGATTTAGCTCAGTGGTTCCATCACCTGCTTCGCAGCGCAAGGACCCGAGTTTGATCCCCGGTAACAAAAAAACAAACAAACAAACCAAAAACAAACAAACAAACAAAAAAGAACCTGACCCTTTCCCTAAATTCCCTCACAATCATTCTAAACCAAACCAGAGAGGGAAAAAATTCCCAGTTGCAAAACAAATCCAGAAAACATAACCTCATCACCCCAAATAGTGAAATGGAAAACAAATCCATACTGTGGAGACTTGGTCTGAAACACATCAGCACTAGAACTGGGTAAGGGGGCCAGAAACGTGTTACTCTGGACAAGTCTGTGATCCTGTAGAGGAAAAAGCTAACATTTTACGAATAACAATGTGGCCAAATGACAACCAAATTCAATCACACTGATGCTGTCTAAACCTAGATGGAGGGTCAGCCGCTGTACATCCTGACTAAAGATAGACTTCCTCTCTCCAGCACTCATCCCCAAAAAGCACAAAGTTTTATTTCTGGACCAACTCTGGCTGCTCTCTGCCTTTACCGCCTCTGCCTCCGATGGGATGCTGCTAGAGCAGTGAGCAGGTAAATGCCTCACCCTCCTCTTCAGCTCAAAAAACAACAAAGCAAGACAGACAGAGTAGGTCCAGGGGCTCATCCATTGTATTCAGGGATGTACTGGGGGCACCTGAAAGCCTCCAAGACACCAGTATCAGAATTTCCTCTGGCCAGAATTTCCCAGATGTAGGAGCTGAGGTGTGACATCTGCTTCAGTGGGCTCAGGATCTTCTGGAACCACATTCTCCTTCTCTGAGCTGCCTGGAGCTACAGGATAAGCTTCCCAGGGTTAAAGGAGGTGAAGCAGGGAAGATGAGTGGCTCAGAGTATCACCAAAGTGATTTGGGAGATCAGGAGGCTCCAGCTCATCCCTGGATGTTGCTGAGCCTCTGGACTCTTGTTTGGGTGTTGTTTTAGAAGAAAGCTTTTTGCAATGGTTCTCAATTTTGACTAAATGCATGAGTTACCTAGGGGTCTTGTTACAAGTCAGATTCAGAGTCTTTCTCTGGGTGGGGCCTGGGAGCTTGCATTTTTAGCAAGCTCCCAGGTGAAGCCAAGGTTGGTGGTCCGTGGCTGGGGTGAATTTGCCTAAGGATCTGGGAGATTGGAACAAATCAGAACCAGAGACACACAAGACACAGATGGAGGAGTGGTGCTAGAAGAGAGAGGAAGACAGAAACAATGATAGGAATAATACCAAGACTGTCATGGGAACAGAGAAAGATAGTGTGACAAAAAGAGGACTCAAGTACCAAAAAAAAAAAAAAAAAAGACGACTCAAGAAGAAGACAGAGAAACAGAGAGAGGCAAAGAGTAAAGCCAGAGATGAAAGAGTGATTGGGACAAAATGACTAGCAAAGACAGCCAAAGTCAGGGAGAGGGGCCAAGGTAAGAAAGAGGAGGCCACCAAGGCTCCATCACGGGCTCCAAATTCAGACCAACAGTGAAGAGAATCACAGGTGTGGATAAACGCCGCCTGCAGAGTAGCAGGTGTACAGACAGACCTAAGATCCCCACCTTCCCCACCTATCAGCCTTCTCATGCCTGCATCACTCCTTCTCTGCCCCTCCAGAGTTATCCACCCTCCCTCCACTCCCCCCAAGTCTTCCACAACCGAGTCCCTTTCTCTCCTTTACAGTCAATCTCTGTCTTCACCGGACCCTTCCCAAAAGCTTTTAGACATGTTCAAGTCTTTCCTATCTTAAGAAAAGGGGGGGGGCAGGGATTTAGCTCAGTGGTTTCGCTGCCTGCTGCACAACCGCAAGGACCTGAGTTCGATCCCCAGCACCAAAAAAAAAAAAAAAAAAAAAAAAAAAGACTTGCTCAACCTATGTCTCTCTCTAGCCCCTGTGGGATTTCTCTTCTCTTTTCTCAGCTAACGTTCTGGTCCTTTTGATCTTCCCCTCTTTCTTGCTGGTTCTGGGACTCGCTATTCCCCAGGTTTTCCTCCTGCCTGTCCCTTCTTTGACCTCTTTCCCAACGGATCCTCTTCCTGTTTGGGGGGCCACAGAACTGGTCCTCACTTTATCCAGAGCACCCTTGCCAGTGATACGCTTCCAAACCCACGGCCTGGGGCATCTTCTCTACACAAGTGTGTATTCCTGCCTGAGTCCCCTGGTACCCTCTAGACCTGTGTTTAGGGGTAGGCAGTGTCTGCTCACCATCTTTACCTAGAAGTCTTAGAGGTATTTCGAACTCAACATGATCAAAGCAAAATGTATGTTCTTTCTTCTCCTAAGCTGATCTTCCTCATGGGCTTCCCCTCTCTGCATCCTTCATCCATCTAGGTGCTTAAGACAGAAACAAAGGTTTTGCCTTTGACGACTATCTCCCTTCCTTCCTCCCTCTTCCATATCCAGCTCATCATCAAATTTTCAGCTTTATTCTCCAAATAAATTTGTATCCACTTATGTCCATTTCCATGATCACCCTAGTCTAAGCCTTCAATACCTTTTCAATACCTGGATACCCACAGTAGCCTCCTAAGGAGCCTCTTCCCGGTCTGGCTTCCATGCTGCACACAACATGATCACCGCAGAGGACAGATCTAGTCACGGTGTCTTGGTGCTTATAACCCTTCAGCAGCTTCATGGGCTCTGAGAATAAAAGCTCAATTCCAGAGGGCTTTTCTGGAATCACTTCATTTCACTTGAACTCCAGTACTTCTGGATATATTGGCTTTCATTCAGTCCCTTACCACAAAGGTCCTTTCTGCCACAGAACATTTGCATGTGTTGTATCTTCTGAACAGAACTGTGCTGTTTAATACAGTCATCACTAGCCACAAGTGCCTTTTGAGCACTTGAACAATGGCTAGTGTGCGACTGAAGAACTGAATTTTATTTTATTTTTTTGTACCGGGGATCGAACTCAGGGCCTTGCACTTGCGCAGCAGGCGACGAAACCACTGAGCTAAATCCCCGGCCCAAGAACTGAATTTTTAATGCTACTTTTAATTTTAAAATATTCAATTTAGTTATTGGAAAACTTAACTATTCTTAAAATAACTTGGGTATGCAATTTTCTATTTTAACCTTAATTTTTATGAAGTCTAACTATAGATCAAGTATTTCTAGTGAAAATTTGAGCATTCAAGTGAAGTTAAGCCATAAATGTAAAAATGCATGGAAAATGTTAAGACTTAGTTTAAGCTGGGAATGGTAGTACACCCCTGTAATTCTAGGACTTGAGAGGCTGAAACAGGAAGATCACAAGTTCAAGGCTGAGGTGGGGTACATATTGTTTGAGGCTGCCCTGAACTACATACCAGGACTCTGTCTCCAAAAAAAAAAAAAAAAAAGAGCTTTGGTTTTAAAAAATGTAAAAGATCTCCCAAAAATTTTTTATGTTGATTACATGTTCAAAAGATAATATTTTGCATATATTTGGGTAGACAACAAATGTTTGGTTAAATTATGGCTACCCGAAGATTTTAAATTACATATGTGGCTCGCATATTTCTGCTGGGGATACCAGTCTAGAATGCCATTCCCCTAGACTTTGTCTTAAATCTTCTACTCATCCTTCAGAGCTTGGCTCAGATATCACCCCCTCCCGAGAAAGCACCACTGAGATAAAGTTTTAGGTTTGTATTTCACTGTATTCACATTCTTACTAATGTGCATGCACCAGAGTTTGCCTGCCTCTACTCCATCCATCTGCATTCATACACTTATTTGTCTGATTTCTTGATGCAGGGCTGTCTCTCCCACCGACCTCTAAGGTCCATGAGAGCAAGGCTGGGTCTACCCAGAAACCAACCAGCCCCTGACACGTGGACTGCTGCCAGTGGACAGGAGGATACCACAGAAGGTGTTCCATTTACTGCCCTGCCTTTCAGCAGGACCATCCTTAACCACTGCAGAGCACCTCTTCTTCCCCTACACAGACCTTCACAGTGTGTGGCCTCTGCCCCTCCAGATGGAAAGTGCACCTTTGAGCTGGCCCAAGGGCCTTTGGTCCCCTTAGGAGGAATCAGAACAGTGCTTCTTGATCTCAGATGCACATGCCAACCACAAGGAACCCTGTTAAAATGCAGACCCTGGTTCACCCTTCAGGGATGGGACCTGAGACTCTCATTCTTATGAAGTGCCTGGTGACAATGTGGTGTTGATCCACAGACCACATTCTGAGTAACGAGAATGAAGAGGACCTGGTTACCGCCCTCAGAGTCTTCCTGAAGTTTTCCTCCTGCTCTGGACTCTGTTGCAGAAGCTGTTCAGGGTCTCTCGAAATTTATCCCTGCCCCCACCCCACTCCCATCCTCACACCCTGAAAAGGAACAAGGTGCCTAACTATTGTTGTCATTGGTTTTTTTCTTTTTAATTTGAAATAAACCTTTAAGCAGTTTTTTGAGTCAGGTCAGCCCTGATATGTATCACGGATGCTCTGGGATACTCTCCAACGATAAAGTCACACAGCTGGTATGTTAAACGTGGTCGGATGAATTCTTCTCCCACAGCAGTTCTCAGGCTTTGGCTGGACCACCACACTTGGCAGGTGCAATCCCGGTAGCTTCTCCAGAAAGTTCCGTGCTGCAAAGTTTGGCTTTGAATACTGGAAAATGGTCTGACACAACCATTGTGAGCATTGTACGCCAAGTGTGAACTGTTGGGCCACTGGATGGAAGTGTCTTCTGGTGGCCTCAGTTGTGTGCGTATGTGCACATGTGTGTGTCTGTCTGGTTGCACATTTGGACATGGCTGTGTGTGCATGCATGGATGGAGTGTATGTGTACACACTGCCCCCGACACTCCAGTTCTGGGAAGCTTTCTTCACGCAGAGCAGCGTGGGGCTCTTTTGCATGGGGGTGGAGGCGGGGTCCTGTGCTTAGCTGGGCCCAGCAGACGTGAGTGGCCCCACTGTCCCTGGCTGTGGCTGCTCTGGCAGCTGCTGCTGTCCTCTGTGTCTCCGAGAGCTTGGGCTGGTCTCCTTGTTCTTCCTGCTGGGGTTCCTGTAGGCGTTCTCCCGTCGGCCCTGGCCTCCCTTCCTCCTCTTCTGTCCTGCAACAACCCAGACAGTGGGAAGAATCAGCAAGAATGTACAGAGACCCTGGGCAGGACAAGGACCCTGGGAGGAGAGCAGCGAGGAAGCTTGGCAGGGAGGCAGTGAGGAGACCTGGAGACTCCAGTCATCTCAGGGCCTCCTCTGACCAGCAGCCACTAGAAGCCTGGACAGCATGAGTACTGAGAGACAGTCTCTAGAGTCTCTTCTTCTCCTACCCCTCAGTGGACACCAAACACCCTCCCCTTCCTCGTGTCCTTCTCATCCTTTGGGTCTCTATGGGCCTACAGCACCTCCCAGATGTCCCGTGCAGCTCAGAACAGCAGGACAGTCCAATCCCCTCCTCTCACCTGTGGCCTCTGGGGCCAGGCAAGGAGCAGCAGTGACCTCACTGCCAACTGCAGGCTGTGTGATCTTGTTTGAATCACTGCACGTTGATGGGGCTTAGCCCACCCCCACCTGGCCCCCCAGCATCCTGCTAGCATGAACATCCCCCAGAAATGGGGACACTGCAGGGATGGAGATCACAGAAGCTCCCAGGTCCTGCCACACAGTTCTGGGCACTGCTCTCTGCCAGGACAAGCCTCCAGCTTGGACAGCATGAGGCCTTGAGTTGAGGACTCTCCATCTGGCTTTACTGGGAGTACTGGGCAGGTTGCAGAGGTGACTGGACCCCAGGGAGGCAGAGGCTACAGCTTACCATCAGGGCATGGCATCCTCCGCACTGTGCACCTTCGGGTCTCCTTGGTCTCAGAGCAGGTGGTGTGGTCCCCCCCAGGAGCATGGAGCACTCTGCGTGTCCGCTCCTCAGAGCCCTTCCGGAAGCCACAGAGCTTCTTCTTCTTGGAGCAGGGCCCCCACGGGGACCATTCACTCATTTCACATTGTGCTGGCAGGAGGAGAGGGAACAGGAGAGAGGGAAGAGGAGGGGGCTCCCCTTCCCCATCCAGAACACCTCAGGGGAGCCTCACCCACCTGCCCTCAGCCTGGGGCTCAGGCCAAGCATCTTTAGTCTGGAGGGTAGCAAGGGCCACACAGCGACCTCAGAAGATGAGGTGGGGTAAGCTTTCTGGCCACTACGTCCCAGCCTATGAGATCTCTGGCCAGATCCCCATCCTGCCCCTCAGCCTGGGGTCCCAGACTTTGCCTGCAGCACCCACTGCAGCTTACCAGGACTGCTGCACTCCATGGTGCCATTTGTGGGGGTGGAGCCCTCAGGACAGGTTGGGTAGCAGCGACCCTTGTGCAAATACTGGCCCTCCTGACACTTGGTGCAGAAGTTGTGGCTGAAGCAGGCCTCACAGTGCTCAATCTTGCATTCTGTGGACAGGACCAAATTGGGGGCCTCTGGCCCAGCCTGGAACGGACACCCTCTCCTGCCCAGTCCCGACACCCACATGCCCACCCACATGGAGGCCAGGACTTTGCCTTACATCTTCGATTACAGCTGAGGGGTCCTGAGAGGAGAGGAAAAGCAGGGGCAAAGGCAGCACAGGAGAGAGGAAGCTGAAGCGGCGGCCCCCAAGGGCTGACTGGAACTCTTGCCACCATCAGCCAACATGAACCTGAACTCAGTATCAAGCCCTGGAACCCAAGATGAGGCCCGAGAGAGCTGGTTCCCGTGGAGGAGGGGCCCCTCTGGGCTTGGTGGAGTGGGGCAGGAATGTTTTATGGCATCCCATGTCATGCTTGCCCCCAGCCAGAGTGGAACCGAGGAACAGGGCAACACCTACAGAGTGGCTGGGCAGAACCCCTTCCCTCGCTGCTGGGCATCCACAGCACCCCAGCTCTGGTTCTCCTCCCATCTGAGGCAGAAGGAATCTGCTCAGAGGAGCAGGGAGCAATCCCAGGGCAAATTCCTCTTCTTGTGCAAGGCCAAGTTCCAGAACCCACCTTGGTCGTACTTTTGGGTCCCTCCCTGCTTCCCTCTTGCCAGTTCCCTCCTCTGGGGGGAGGATGGGTTATGTAGGGCTTGGCTGGGGCCAGCCAGGTCTTTCACAATCTCTCGCTTCCCGGATTGTAGGTAGGGCTGGCTTCATCCCAGTTCCTGGCACCTGAAGCCCAGGCTGCCAGTTTCGCAGCAGCTGGCACAGCCAGGAATTCCCTGCCTCCCAACACCCTGAAGACCAAGAGGACAAACTTCCATCCTGCCAAGCTCCCTGCTCCACCTTCCTCTGTGCCTCCTAACCTGTATGGCTATCTCGGCCTCAGCTCCCTCTTCCATCCTTCCTTTCTTCCCCAGTGCTCTGATTCCTGAGTTTGGTTGCTAGTAAAGTAAGAACTCCAATACCAACAGCAGGTACAGTTGCATTGAGTGTCAGATACCAAGAGCTTTGTAGGTAACATCTCACAACAACCCCAGGGGGTGAAAACTGGGACTCGCTTTCTAAAGATGAGGTGCTAAGAGGCTGAGATAAGCTCAGGCTCATACAATGAATAAGCAGCAGAGTTGAGATTGGAAAACAGGTGGCTAAGCCGGAGCCCATCGCCTCACCTTCCAGCCCCTAAGTTATCAGCCGTGAAAGGCATTGTCCCTTTCGCTCTGTCTCCCTCCAAAGGTTGTGGTGAGGCTCAATCGACACGAGATTTGGAAATGTGTTCTAAACCACAAGGTTAGGAAGAGATTGGAGGGGACATTGGCATTGTTCACTACGGTGTGTTCACTGTGTGTCCCCCAGTGTGTCACAGATGAGGTTACAGAGATGGCATGGAGATAGGACAGGCTGTGCCTTGGAGCATGTGGCACTGTAGCTGGTGTGGCACAGTGGAGCCAGAAGACCAGAGGGCAGAAGAGGGTGGAGGAGCAGGCTGGCCAGACTTGGATTTCCCTATAGCCAGTGTGGAGCCAACAGTGGTTTTCCAGCAGAAGTGGGTTGGGATAGGCTGTATTCTCAGAAGCATCTTTCTGGCTGCAGTGCAGAGGGCAGATTGGAGGCAATGCCATGAAAGCTGGAGGACAGACGGGTAAGCATTGCAATGGTCCGGGGGAGAGGTGCTGCTAAGAAGCACTGCACGAAGATGGAAAGGAGATGGATGTTGATTGGCTGGCTGGGAGCAGCACATGTGAGAGTTTGGATGTCAGGTCTATGGCTTGGGGCACGAGTTGGGACACTGAGAATGACCTGTGGGAACAGAGATGGGGGCGGGTGTAGAGGAAGGACATGGGTTCTGGTTTGGACACAGAGTTGGAAGTGTGGGTGGATATCTGGGGAGACGTCACGCTGGCAGTGCGAGACATGAATCAAGAGCCTCATCTCCTCTCATCGGTGTCCCTTCTGTGTCCCTCACGGGCCACCAATAGTTCAAAGCACCCTCTCCCAGGGTGCAGTCACCAGTGCCCCTCTTCAGCTTGCCCACACTCACTGATGCACTTGTTCATGTCGGGGTTGCGGGCGTCAAAGTATCCAGGCGGACAGGACTGCAAGCAGACGCCCACCTGGCGGATGTCGTTCCGCTCCAGCAGGATGAACAGCTTGGGTGAACACTTGAGGCAGCCGTTGACCTCGGAGCAGAGCTCACAGCCCTTGGCACAGGCTTGGCTCCCCTCAGCACTGACTGCAAAGGTGAGAAATCGGCTGTAGAAGAGACCTCGTCTTTCCGAGCTCCCACGGGGATAGAAGGAGGGTAGATGGGAGTTTCATTCTACGCAAGGATTGTGCTTCTCAGAAGCACAGCTCTCGGCCAGGCCACTTTCTGCACATCCCCAGCATTCTTTCTTCAGGAAACTGAGGTAGATGCCTGGGGCAAGGGCTCCCATCCATCCCAGGTACCTCCCCAGCTCCAGCACAAGGGCCTCTTCTAGGCTGGCTCCTCCACCCCCACCCTTCTTAGAATTTACTTGACTCTCCCCAGAGAAAGGAAAATTCAGCCTCAGGTATGGAAGGAGGGTTTATTATTGTTATATATTTTTTTATGTCTGACAAAGTTTTTTTTTTTGAAACAGGGTCTCACTATGCAATCCAGCTTAGCCTTAAACTCACTATGTAGTCCAGGCTGGCCTTGAACTCACAGTAATCCTCCTGCCTCAGCTTCCTGAGTACTGGGATTATAGGAGTATGCCACCATGCCTGGTTGATGTCTGATAAAGTTTTAAAGACAAGAGAGAGAATGGATTAAACTACCTGAGACAAGAACTACCTACTCAGAGACAGGAAAACAACCAAAATAAATTATGCCTGGAATAGTGGTCTCAACCAGGGATGATTTTGTTCCCCAAGGGACATTTGGCAAAGTGTAGAGGCCTCTTTTTTTTTTTTCACACTGGAAATTGAACTCAGGGCTTTCATACTGAGGTACATCCCCAACCCTTTTTACTTTTTTTTTTTTTTTGGTACCGGGGATTGAACTCGGGTCCTTGCTTGTGTAGCAGGTGGCAAAACCACTGAGCTAAATCCCCGGTCCCGTTTTACGTTTTTATTCTGTGACAGGGTCTCACTAAGTTGCTAAGTTGCCCAAGCTGGGCTAGAACATGCCATCTTCCTGCCCCAGTCTCCCAGAATTCTAGGATTACATCTGCCACCTAGAAACATTTTTGATCATCACCAGGAAGGTGAACTCCTAGTGGCATCAAGGGGGAAGTGACCAGGGTTGCTGCTAAACATTGTCTCAGGCACAGGGCAGTTCCCGCAACAAAGAATCATTTGGTCCAAAATGTTACTGGTTTTGTGGTTGATGAAACCTGGCTTAGAACTGTCCTCAGAAGGCAGTGTGGTCTCCATCACAGCACTGAAGCTCAGAGCTTTGATCTTGTTCCCTCGTTCACCTGCTCAGCCAACACTTACTGAGCCCCTGGCATGTACCAGGCTCGGTGTGAGCCCCAGGATAGTGACGCAATGCTAACAGCCAGAGAGCCAAGTAATAGTGGAATCAAAAAGGAGAGACACAAGTGCTGTGTTAGAAATGAGAGATACAGGTGCTGGGCAAAACAGGTCTACAAGGGTGAAAAAAATTACACATAGGAGAACTGCAGATAATTTGAGGTAGAGGTAAAAATGGGTGGGGGAAGATGGTGAAAAATAAAGTATCCTATTTTTAGATCATGCTAAGGAACTTGAACTTGAACTTTAATCTGCCAGTAGCATTTCTCCAAGAGTGTTCCTGGGAAGAAGATTCCCCCAACTGTTAATAGGAGGATGTGGAGAAAAGCCTAGTGTAGGGCTGGGGATTTAGCTCAGTGGGTTCACCGCCTGCTGCTCAAGGGCAAGGACCTGAGTTTGATCCCCCGTACTAAAAAAAAAAAAAAAAAGAAAAGAAAGAAAAGAAAAGCCTAGTGTATCAGGTAAAACCAGAATCAGCGTATCAAACAAATCTAAACAGGTTTCTGTATTGTGGGGCTTTTTGCAATCTTTATTACACTCTTGTGTAGTGTTACTATCTAAGAGGGGAGAAAGTAAGCTGCATTTCCCAAACATTTTGGGAATACTTGTTTTGCAGTTTAATTCTTGGAACTTTTTTGGAGCCACTTGCCCAACAGGGAGCCATTGGAAAATTAAGCAGAGGTAAGATCTGATCCAATTTACATATTAGAAAGAACTCTCTGGCAGCTAGGGTGGAGACCAAAGAACAAAGGATTATTTGGGAAGAAGCTGACTAGGTCACTAAGATGAGAAAGGTGAAGAAATTGTAAACAAAATTCTGTTTCGTGGTGACATAGAGAAAAAGACTGATTTGAAAAATGTTCAGGGCTGTCCCGACTCTTCATGGTAGCCCGCCCTGTGTCTTCTAGACCAGAGCATACTTTTATTTTTGTTTTTCTCTTTTCCTCTCTTGTTTGGTCCAAGTTTGCCTTGTAGACCCAGTTTCTCCCTCACTCCTCACTTTTCAAATAAACCTTATCACTGTTAAAAAAAAAAAAAAAAGAGAGAGAAAAGGAAAGATGTTCAGGGAATGGTTATGGCTAACAGCCAGAGAAGACTGAGGAGGACGCTGGGGTGATTCCCAGGTATCTGGCCTAGGGTGTAAATGAACTGTAGGGCCAGACATTAAAAAATGCCCACAGGAAGAGAATCCAATTGAGAAGGAAGACCGAGAAGTTGGGAATCACTTAGGATGACCCAGGCAAGGAGATGCCATAGATACAAGCTGGAGACAGAGAGCTGGGAAAATCAGGGTCCGAGGCCATGAGATGGCTCAGGAGAGTGTGCCCAGTGCTCAGGCTGCACATCCAGCCAGTCCTGGAGCCAATTCCCAGTCTGTGAGGCCAGGGAAAATGCTGGATCATGTGCCCCCCTTTCCACCCCAGAAACAGGGAGCCAAGGATGTATTCCCTGGAGGGCTGCTGGCAGTGGTATATGCTCCAGGCATGATTTCTAATTTCAGGCAGGAAAAGAGAAGAGGAGAATCACAAACACACTCGTGGTCATAACAACACAGTAATAATCATACAAAGGGTAGCTTAGTACTAAATGCTGAGCACCAATTCCATTCTCAGGACTTGACAAATATTAACTCCTTTAATCCTTCTACTGGCCCCCGGGGTATGTACAGTTACTTTTAATAATCCTCATTTTTACAGAAGAGGTTAAATTATTTCACCAAAAATAAATAAATAAAATAAAAATAAATCACTCGACCAAGTTTTCTTAGCTAGTATGTTCCACACAGAGAGGAACAAAGTACATAAAAGGCAGATGTAGGAAAACATAGGGGCTGTGCAAATTGAAAGGATGACTAGATTATTTTTATTAAATATGAAATTTCAAATAAATAAATAAATAAATAAATATGAGATTTCTTTTTTTTTTTTTTTGGTACTGGGGATCAAACGTGGGTCCTTGCGCCTGCAAGGCAGGTGGTGAAACCACTGAGCTAAATCCCCGGCCCTGAAATTTCTTTGTAGAATTAGGTTACTATTTGGTTAATACATTTAAAGCTGAGCCGGGGATTTAGCTCAGTGGTTTCACTGCCTGCCTTGCAAGCACAAGGTCCCGAGTTCAAACCCCAGTACCAAAAAAAAAAAAGGCTGAGTATTCCTCTTGTTGGGTTAGTCATTGCATGAGGAAAAAAACCTCCAAACGCTATATTGTAGTTATAAAGGAGCCTTTGGGATTATTTTTTCACTTTGGGCCTTTTATTCGGCCATATTAAAAATTAATAAGTCCACTTGAAAATATGAAATCCTCTATTACTCATTGTTTTTACTTAATTCATTGTTAAAATGAACAATCCCTCTGGGTTTCTTTTTTTTTTTTTGGTACCAGGGATTGAATTTGGGACCTCACACTTGTGAGGCAGGCACTGGAACCACTAAGCTAAATCCCCGGGCCCCCCTTCTGAGTTTCTGCCTTAGTTTCTTCAGTAACCAGGGTGACCCATGGATGACCCCCAGGTGTCCCATTGGCAGTCTTCTATGGCTTTGTCACCTTATTTATTCCTTACTTATCACCTTTGTGAAGAACAGCTTTGTAGAAGGCCTTCTCAGAATCCTATCAGCCACCACCCGTTCAAACAGCAGCATTTTCCTTGACATGGCAGGGAGAATGTGGCACATTCAAGGTCCAAGATTAGTTCAGTACAGTAGGAGTGTAGCTGAGTACTTAGATGAGAAGCTGGATGGGGAAGAAGGGGCCAGACCAGGAAGGGTTTTGAACTACAGAAAGGTGTTCAGATATTATCTGAAAGACAATGAGGATCATTGGAGAGGCTCAGACAGGAGACATGGCCAGGCATTTCAGAAAAGCCACTCTGTAGAGTGGAGAATGGGTCGCAGGAACAGCAAAAGTGGAGGCAGGAAGATGCCCAGGCTAGAACTCCAGGGGAGAAGAGCTGGGGCTGAACCACGAGGAGGGAAAGGAGTAGATATCCGGGTTGTAGAATCCGCAAGGCTGCAAGATGGGCTGGACATGGGGGGAGGGACAAGGAGAAGCACAAATCAAGTTGCCTTGTAGGTGTTGGACTTGTATCACAGAATGGGTGTGAGCCTTTTGCTGAGAAGGTGACCTCAGGAGCAGGAGCAGATCAGGGAGGGGGTGGGGACAATGAGAGCTTAGGCTTTAGAGAGGGTGACAGTGGGACACCCAGGGGAGGTCTATCAGGCAGTTGAGACATACATAGGCTTGGAACTCAAGAGAAACCTTTGGGCTGGAGATTGAGATGTGGAGTACTTAACAGGAAAATAATCCTCAAAAGCATGTGTGTTGTGGAGTGGCAAGGAGACTGAGAAGAGGGACTAGACCTTTTCGAGAAGGACAGAAAAAGACAGGGCAATGAAGAGGCTGAGAAGGAGTTGGCAGACAGGGAGAGAATGCTAAAAAACCTATTGCAGGGCTGGGGATTTAGCTCAGTGGTTTTGCCACCTGCCTCATAAGTGCAAGGACCCGAGTTCAATCCCCGGTACCAAAAAATTAAAAAATAAAAAGCCTATTGCAGCCGAGGGTGGTGGCACACACCCATAATCCCAGCACTCCAGAGGCTGAGGAAGGAGGATTGCTGCCAGTATGAGGCCAGTCTGGAATACATAGTGAGATCCTGTCTTAAACAAAGCAAAACAAAACCAAAAAACCTTGTTGCATTTATTGCATCCTGGAGGCCAAAAGAAGAATATGTTCAAGGGAAGA